GTGAAACTTTGTGTGCTATTTCCAGTGATCACAACTGACATATTCATGTTAGGAAAGAGTGCAAGAATTTTCCGCGCAAGATTCCTTTAAGTGGGCCCTGATAGACGTAATGGACGCGAAAACCTTTACTAAATCCAAATTCGATGATATTTGATAGACTGAACCTGGGCTGATCAAAGCTGTTGTATGTGTCGCTTTTTAAGACTACTTTGACCAAGAACCTGTTTATCAGTAAAAATAACCGGCAGTAAAGAATTCAGACGACATCTCCATCCAGCACCGCTTTTTTCATTTTACTTGAACCATTCAAGGGTTGAGCATTTCCACGCTTACGTGTCTTCGTCACGGGTGATTTCCGGCACCTACTTGCCAACAGTTTTCCTGATTGCTAACACGGGAGACAATTAATGGATTCAATGTGTTAGAGTCCCGCGCAGCTTGACGCCCTTTTTCTCAATGTTTTTCATTGCAACAGTGGCAGACCAGACCAATCGTTCCCAGTACCTAGTTCACTGGGCTCTGTGATGGTGATTGTTGCATGACGCCTGGGGCCCTGAGCGCTTTGCAGTGTGACACCACCAAACACCTTGACGAAGCAAGCGAGTGGCTATTTCATGAAGAGCTAAAGGACTGAATATTCAAAGCCACTCAATTCTACATCGAAGAATGAACACCAACTGATACGACTAAATAGATGAAAGCCACATCAAAACCCCATCACTTCAGTTTCGAAGTTTCCATTTTTTTCTGTGCAGAATGCTCCTATTACCGTACTTTGCGGCGCAAAGTGTGAGACACCTTTCGTATGCATACAAGTCCTCTCCACAGAGTGTTGGTGTAATGAGTAAAAGGGAAGACAACAGAAGGCGTAGTACTACGCAAGGTATAGATCCTGGTGGGATGAGAGAATAATCTTGTGACGTGATAAGGCATACCACAGACCGTAGACTGCGAGTTAAAGGTGGTGAACTACGGCCGTAAGCGGTGAATAATGAAAGGCGAGACAGCCAGATGACCCGCTCTGAATGGCGAACTTCACTACATTCCTAGCAAAAGTCGCGTCGCCATGGACTTGAACCATGTAATGCAGCGCCCATGAGCGCGACGTTTGCCACTGCACCACAAAGCATTGCTGGTTCACTTTGAAAGAATTGTAGAATGCAAGGTAGTAACCTATGAGGGTTGCAAAGCCTTAAGCGTAATCCCGTGCTCGATCCAATGTCAACATGACGAACCCGCTGCGCCAATCGACGTGTTAGATGCTTATATCATGGCCTAGATGATTGTACAGTAGTGAAATGCTCCCAGGACCAAGGAAGGAGCTATAACACGATCAATAAGTGGAACACTGCAGGGGACAGCTGATCACCTTATTGGCAGAAAGTTATCAATATTATCGATAGCTCCAGTGGCTTTCTTGCTGCCCCACTCTCAACACCTTCCACGAACTCCCCTTCTTCCCTTCGCAGTGCGCTCCGAATCAAAAGGCGTGGCAGGAACGTAAAGACGCTCGATGCGACCAAAGTATGACTTGCAGAGATTTCAGTCGCCCTCTACATGACCCTCTGCGTCTCTGCAATCTCCATGCACTTTCCCCTTTCTCTGCCGGGTTCGCCGTCTAGGCAAGGTGCCACCTTATACGTTGGCCACTTAAGATGTGGCCTAGACCTCGCCCTCTGCGGCAGGTCAGCGCGAGTTTCCCGCCTTTCCCCATGCTTTTTAGGTGCGGACGAAGGCGAGGTCAACGTGACCTATTGGCCAACTATAGACTGGCTATTTAGGAGACTTTACTACCGTTCCAGCAATGCAGAAACCCACCGAGCACATACGGCCATTCCCACATGGTGCGGTAGCAACGTGAGGGCAGGGAAGGGAGTGGGAGAAAAACTTACCGTCAACAGAAATGAAGTCATTGTTAGCCTCGTTTCATTCTAACGTAGTATCGTGGTGGCGATAAGGCTGCACTGCACTACTCAACTTTTTCGCAATGGCATCCCCTTCACAAGGTAATGTATTCACAATTGGAAGTGAGTATAGGGAAAGGCGTAGAGCTAACGCAGGAAAAGATGGATTCCGGTCGTTGCCAGGATAAAAACTGGCACAAATATGCAGAAGTCTTGAAAATTTCAGATGCAGTCATACAGTCAGACTCTCTTCAGCCAGCAAGGCTAATGGTTGAATACGTCTCAAACGCTTCTTCATAAAAACCTCCAAAGTTATTTACGTGAGCTACAACTTCTGACTTTTTTTTGAACAACATGTGATTTTTATACACTTTTTATGCCTATAAG